ATAGAAAAATATAAGCAACAAGAAAAGAAGAAAGTAGAAAAGGGTTAGAACCTCGGGTTGCCTCCCAGAAGCGCTTCTTTATAAGGTCATTAGCTTGACCATGAAGAAAATTCATTCAAGAGGGTGGCTTAGTGTCACGGTCCGGGAGTTTGGACCCCGAAACGTGCGGCGCGCTCTAGCCTTTTGGCGGCAAGAACGCTAGCCTTGAGCGGAAGAGGGGCTTGTGAGCACAAAGCAACACAAGCGGGCAATAAAATCTCAGGAGCACTCACGTCTATCTGGGCGACGGAGTGCGGGTGGTCGGGGCTTGTGACGGCTGATACTTCAAAGCGGGCACAAGCGGGTCCGAACCACGAGTCCTTAGCGCATCAAGTTGGGTTGGAGGGGAGCTAATATGCAAGTAAGACACAATATCTATAAAGGTCTAACAACAAACAAGCATAAAAGCAAGGCAACACTTGGTAGAAGGCTTCAAGATTTCATTAATCATTCGCCCTCTAAAGAGCTTTAAATAACATACAAGGAGAATCCCTAGTGAACACTGATCTGACAGTAACACAATAATGAGACCTCAAGCTAGGAAAACATAACCTAAACTCTAGGAAAGCACTTAAATGGAATCTAATACATCAAAAGGAGTTGGATTCTAACATCCTCCCCTACTTAAGCTGTCGACGACCTCGTCGACTTACAAAAGTTACAATCAAAATTAGAAAACCCTAAACTATCTCAAGTTTCGGATGCGCCGTTGGTGCGGCTATCTTCTGGAATCTTATCTGACTCTTGAGCTGGATCTTCTTTGTTGACGAGGAGCTTTTCTCTGGAGTCGCTCGGCCCGAACATCTTGCTGAGAGCTTCATCTCTAAATTTCCTCCTGGGAGTGGAATCTGTTGAATTAAGGGGGACAGCTGCTTCCACCATCATCTGTTGGGGAGCTGCTTCCTTGAGACTGTGGTGGAGAGCTTCAAGTTGTGGCTGGTGCCTCTTGGGTGACCATTTTCTTTGTAATTCCTTGCACGCGCCCTGCGTTGTTTGCTCAACCACTGTTTTTCCTCCCTCTTGGGAGGTTCTTCTTTGGTGTCTCTTTGGTGTCTCTGGGCTCGTCGCTCTTTGCTTCGAACCTTGTGACTGATTCTGGTTTTGGCGGGTGTGTATCTGGGATGTTGCCAACTCCATGGGCTTCATCTCCCGCTTCTCTGGGTTTCTGGTGCGAGCTTGTTTCTTCGATGTTGCCTTCTTCTCAGGCTCCATCACTCGCATTGCCGAAAGATATCGGACTTCTGGTTCTTCTTGAGGTGCTATCATTCTCATAGCACTCAGGCGTCGTATGGAACCCATCCTATATGTGGGCTCCTCATCGCTGCTAGTCTCTTTTGTGGCCTCCTGAACGGACATGGATGACAATCTCTTTTGGATCTTGTCAAGTTCTTCTTTATGCTCGCAATCCCACCATTTGTGTGGACCTCGACAAAGTATGCAGTTTATTGCCCTTGTGTTTGCCGAGGATGCACCGGCCCTCGAGTTTCCTGAGTTGTGGGAGGGGGTAGATGTTTGTCTCTGGGCATCACCTCCTCCACTTCTTCTATGATATGTATTAATGGTGTTGGACGATACTCGTGAGCCGTTCTCTGTACCCTTTGGAGAGCTTGGAGACGGACTGTTAGAGCGTGTTGACGTCCCACTTGAATCCTTCTCGGATTGACGACCTTTCCCGACTTAGTAGTCCATCAATCTCTCAGCAGCACACATAGCAGCAGCGAGGGTATCAATATTCTGCCTCAAAATCTCTCGTTGCGCCCATTCCTTTAACCCGTTGACAAAGTTGAACACACGATCTTTCTCATTCATGTCTGTGATGTCCAACATTATCGCCGAGTATTCCTTAACATAGTTGCGAAGAGAACCCTTCTGGCGGCACTCTTGCAACTTCATCCGTGCAACAAACGCTGTGTTGACGGGGTAGAATTGTTCTTTGAGTTCCTCTTTGAACTCCGCCCATGTATCAATCTTGATCCTTCCTGCTTCAATGTCTGCGTGCTTGGTGCGCCACCACAGCTTAGCATCTTCGGACAAATACATGATGGCAGTATCCACCTTCTGATCGTCACTTAGTTGACATATTCGGAAGTACTGCTCCATGTCGAAGAGGAAGTTATCAACTTATTTCGCATCTCTAGCGCCACTGTAGTCGTGAGGTTTGGGCGGCTTTATCTTCGCCGCACCCACACCCAGTGCGTCTCTGCCCACAGCGCGCGTTAAGGTAGCACATTTCTCAAGTGCTTCGTCGGCTTTTCCTTGAACAAATTGCAATTGTTCGCGGAGGGCATCTCTGTCAGCCATCAATTTCACAATTTGCTCGGCTTGCTCGTGTACAATGACTTGGAGCTCGGCCCATTTGTCCGCCTTCTCCTCGAGCCAAGCGAGCCTTTCTTCTACGAATTCCATCTTCGTGTAGCCCTCCTTGGTGCCTACACGGGTTGCTTGCGACGAGGTTTGAGCCTCGGCTCTGATACCAACTGTCACGGTCCGGAAGTTTGGACCCCGAAACGTGCGGCGCGCTCTAGCCTTTTGGCGGCAAGAACGCTAGCCTTGAGCGGAAGAGGGGCTTGTGAGCACAAAGCAACACAAGCGGGCAATAAAATCTCAGGAGCACTCACGTCTATCTGGGCGACGGAGTGCGGGTGGTCGGGGCTTGTGACGGCTGATACTTCAAAGCGGGCACAAGCGGGTCCGAACCACGAGTCCTTAGCGCATCAAGTTGGGTTGGAGGGGAGCTAATATGCAAGTAAGACACAATATCTATAAAGGTCTAACAACAAACAAGCATAAAAGCAAGGCAACACTTGGTAGAAGGCTTCAAGATTTCATTAATCATTCGCCCTCTAAAGAGCTTTAAATGACATACAAGGAGAATCCCTAGTGAACACTGATCTGACAGTAACACAATAATGGGACCTCAAGCTAAGAAAACATAACCTAAACTCTAGGAAAGCACTTAAATGGAATCTAATACATCAAAAGGAGTTGGATTCTAACACTTAGGACCCAAAGGGTCAAGCCTTAGACACTCGATCACACCAGCTTCTTCTTTGCAAAAGTAATGCTTCAAACGAGAACCATTGACCATGAACTTGTTCCCATCTGCATCTAACTCAAAAGAACCATAAGGAGTAGTCTTCGATACCACAAAAGGCCCCAACCACTTAGACTTGAGTTTACCCGGAAACAAGCGAAGCCTTATCTCCAACCTTAAAGCTCTTGTTTCGAATATGTTGGTCATGCCATTTCTTAGTCTTCTCCTTATACATTCTTGAGCTCTCATAAGCATCATCCCTAAGCTCTTCAAGTTCATTGAGCTTCAACAATCTCTTCTCACCGCCAAAGACAAATCCATATTAAGCTCCTTGATAGCCCACCAAGCCTTGTATTCCAATTCAACCGGCAAGTGACAAGCCTTGCCATAGACCAACCTATAAGGGGTTGTGCCGATTGGAGTCTTGTACGCCGTCCTAAGAGCCCAAAGTGTGTCATCGAGCTTGAGAGACCAATCCTTCCTCGATTTGTTCACCATCCTCTTAAGTATATTCTTGATTTCACGATTCGAGACCTCCACTTGACCTTGAGTTTGAGGATGGTAAGGTAGACCAACCTTGTGATGAACGTCGTACTTCTTGGGAAGAGCTTCCAATTGCTTCTTGGCAAAATGAGAACCTCCATCACTAATTAGGACTCTTGGCACCCCAAATCTAGGAAAAATGATCTTCTTCAGAAGCTTGAGCACCACCTTATGATCATTGGTAGGAGAGGGTATAGCTTCGATCCATTTCGTCACATAATCAACCGCCACCAAGATGTATAGGTTCCCACATTAAGAGACGAAAGGTCCCATGAAATCCACCCCCCAAACATCAAAGGGTTCCACTTCTAGAATACTTTGTTGGGGCATTTCGTCCCTTTTGGTAATGCCCCCGCTCCTTTGGCATCGATCACATTGCATAACGAATTTGTGAGCGTCTCTATGCATTGAAGGCCACCAAAGTAAAGATTGAGAGATTTTTGCCACTGTTTTGTCAACACCACCATGTCCCCCACATGGTAGTGAGTGACAATGCTCAAGGACACCCTCAATCTCGTGATCGGGGACACACTTCCTTAAGAGATCATCTCCACATTGCTTGAATAGATACGGATCATTCCAAAAATACCTTCTCACTTCTTTTAAGAACCGTTTCTTTTGTTGAGAGGAGAATTCCGGGGGAACGACCCCGCAAGCAAGATAGTTTGCTATATCCGCATACCGGGGGGTAGAAGTTAACACCATAGCCATGAGAGCCTCGAATCCTATCTCATCATTAATTGGTACATCCTAAGATAGGTCGTTAAACTACTCCCCTAATCACCCACAAAAGGGTTGTCTTGTTAGTCAACCAATAAACGGGCAAGAAAAATGCAAAGAGAAGTGTAAGACAAAACTAAACACAAGTGAATATAAAACTAAAATTTTCCCCCCACTACTCCCTCTGTTCCCGAAGATGTACACACTCCATTTTGAGGTGTCTTAATTGATGAAACCATTTCTATTTCATTCTATTTTGAGTAAGCAAATTTCACTATCTTACCCCACAATATTTAAACCTTTCCATTCAATTACTATATACTCAATTATCTTATAACCACTCATCTTTTTACCCTCTCTCTTGTTTTATCCACCTTTTCTTACACTCACTTAACTTTTCTAAAAACAAGAGTTGATAGCAAATGGATACATCAAAAGAAAACGGAGGGAGTACTTTCTTTCCCAAAATTATTAGGTTATCATACCCAGATACTCTAAACCCATTAAGTCTGTCCATTCTGACTAACAAGGCAACATTCCTTCTCAGCTAAAAAATCCATTCTCAGCTCACAATGGGAACATCAAAACTTGATCTAAATGATAAAAGAAAAAGTCAGACATTGCTGAAAAAACCATTGAAATGGAATATGATTAAAATGCTCACCTTTGTTCTAAAATTATGACTACAGTCTGACTTCACAGAATCACAGATCATCATGATCGGTTGAATCAATACCCAGAAGTTTGGCCAGCTCCCCATTTTGATAGGCTTCAACAGTATCTGAAAGATGTACAGGTCATCCTCTAAGTCATTTTCACAATTTTGAGACGAGGATGGTCTTAAGTTTGTTACAAACTAAGCAACTCACCATCTGATCCACCAATGTGTTTTCCATTGATGAACACCTGGGGCACTGTACGTCTCCCAACAATACCACCAAGTGCATCCTGAATGCTATAACCATCATCTGCAAAAAAATAGGTATTCACAATAAGGGTTTTTTTTTTTTTTTTTTTTAATATTTTTTTTTATTTAAAAAAAAAAAAATTTGTAAATAAAAAAAATCAATGATTTCACTTACCAATTCAGAGATATTCTATAGCATATATAAATGTAAGTGGCAACACATCCATTAATATTTATAGGACACATCATGTCAGAAAGAAAAAGAAATCATACATCAAGCAATTTTGCATCATAATTAACACCCAAAACTCAAACCTCCATACAGATCATTTCAGATGAGGCAGCTTGGCCGATTCCAACCCTAAATATTGCCCTAGGTAAAAATAAGCAACACCCCCCCCCCCTCCTCTTTTCTTTACACAACAAAGAATTGCATACAAGAAAAACAAAAAAGTCATCCATCAAGAGGTTTAAGATCTTATCAAGCACAAATTACATGAATACAAATGAAAAGACAATTTTTAAAGTGTTTTAATTACAAAAAGAAGAAAATTGAATACGATATAATAATATTGCATGCAATAGAAGATCAAAGTCACTTAGGAATAGTGCATTCTATTCTATTGACTCCCCTCCACCAACCAGATTTGCAAATAGCTAAGAGCCAATGCAATGTAAAGCATGGATCTTCATAAGACCTTTGAATTAGCAATTTGAAGAGACCACTAGATGGTTTTAAAGGTTACAGACCTACGATGTGATACACTGATACCAGTATTCCATTGCATATTCCACCTTATCCCATGTTTTGCCTCTTATATCAGAATAATAATGCTTACAAGTTTTAGGTTAGGTTTGAGATTTTTAGAGTAGACAAATTGATATTCAAGTTTACATACCTAGGATGTGATACCAGTATTCCATTGCTCATATCTTCTAATTGGGAGGAATAAACATAAGAGCCCAAAGACTTCTCCTCCCTCACATATTTCCACCTTATTGTAATAGATCAACCTAAGGAGGGGTAGTATAGGTATTCTACAAATATTAGCTCACTAGGTTAAGAGTCCTTAGTATAAATACAGAGGGAAGGGAAGGGAATAGGCAGGCAGAAATTTGGTGAGAACCTTTTAGAGAGTTATGGCCTAAAGCCATTATTGGAGAGTTGTGAGCTAAACTCACTATCGAAGATTGATAGCCTTAAGCTATTTCATTATCCCTTATAACCCTTTCTCCATCATCAATCAAACTTAAAGCTTCCATCTTTATTAATTCTTGGAACTTATAAAAAAAATCAGATTATCTACATTATTCAAAGAATCAATCTTTCTATATAATTTTACTGTTATTTGCATGAGTTAGTAAGCAGTAAACATCAGTCCATTACACTTATCCCATGGTTTTGCCTCTTTTATCTATCCTTCCACATTTGTCTCTGTTCCTACAAACCTTCTTCCTACATGCCCTGATCAATTACTATACAAAGAAACATAACCAAGACATATATCTAAACAAAAGTCCTGGAATTATTATTCAATCACTTCAAACGGGCAAGAGGAGAATCATCTACTTCATGATGTTTCGCCACAGTGAACACAAATGGGGAAAATAAATAAATTATCATTTAATACAAAATATGATGTTTCGCCACAGTGAACACAAATGGGGAAAATAAATAAATTATCATTTAATACAAAATAAGTCTAAAAGTTCAAATATCTATCAACCAATATGACTGTCCCAATAGGACTTTTAAATATACCTCTCTCATCCAACTCAATAACATGTGGTGCTTGGTCTAACTCTCTAAAAACCTCTTTCGCCCTTCTGCAATACCTGTAAAGAAGCAGATTCCACAACATTATCTTGAGGTGTGAGAAATGTTAAAGGATATAAAACAAATTCTACAGTATATAAGAGAGCAAGATACCGTATCTTTCCTAAACTTGATTCATCTCTTCATGAATTATTAATTCCAAATTAAGATTTATGCACAAGAAATAATAAAAATAAAAAATCAACCACCTTACAAAACAGACTTTGATGCCTTGATGATACATGTTTCATGTTCTTACTAGGCAACAACGTGCACAGGAAAACTAGGTTAAATAATCATATGGTTCAATCAAGAGTCAGTGTAGCCTTTTTTTTTTTTTTTTTTTTATTACTTCAACTCCAGGCCAATAATTATACTTTGTAGTTGGTTCTGTGCTAATTGAAGGCTATATTGCTTTTATGCTTTCGAGAAGTCATGCTGCTTGATCTCTTAACTGCCACTTCAACAACATTGCTCTCTGCAGACTGGAGTCCCTCAATATCAAATTAGACTAGGTTATCATGAGTTACACTGATTAGGTAGTGAGAAATAGAGGGAAAGAAAGAGAAGAGAAAGGGGCGGAATTGGCATCCCTTCTGTGGATATAATATGGACAGAGGAAAGTGGAGGGAACTGGTAGGAACCATTTTCCTTCTCCTTTATTTAGGCTCCGTTTGTTTTGACAAAAAACATTTTTCAGGGAAATGATTTTAATGGGAAAACACAATAGTAATACTAGTTTTCCTTTGTTTCCTTACAAGAAAAATTATAGACGAAGAGAAAAATGAGAGTGAAAGGGAGAAGATGTTTGAGAGGAGATGAGAAGGGTGTTAGGAGTGCGGTGGAAAAAGTGGCATACCTTTTGGGAGAAATATTTTCCACATTTGGGAAAATTGTTTTCCACCATTTTCAAATCAAACAATGGAAAATGAGAAAATTATTTTCATGGAAAATGTTTTGCATCAAAACAAATAGAGCCTTAATAAACCAAAATTTCCCGACATTGGAAAGATTTGGAAAGACAATGGAAGCACACTCTCCCCCTGCCCTCCTTTTCCTTCCCCATCATTATACTTCCCTCCCTAACCTTTCCATCTATAATTGCTACCCAAACATAGTGTTAATGACCTTGATGCAGATACGGAGAACTTAATCATCTTTAAGCTCATATACCTCAAGGTAATGAAGCCAAATTCTGCAATTTGTCACATATGGCATGCAGTGATACAGAAAGATATGATGCTTATATGTAAGTCAGCAAGATACAGAAACATAGAGAGAAATCAAAGGAAAAGAAACTCATTGGACAGAATCAGTAAATCAGCAACACATATACTACTGATACTAGAGAATAGGTCATAACTCAAGCTGAAGAGCTGCACAATGCACCAACACTTCACTCGCCAGAAGCAAAACCCACAAATTGTTATATAAAGATCTTAAGCTCTATAATGTTGGGCCTTGACTTCGTTCTGTCACAACCGGGAATCAATTTTTGTTTAGCAGTAACCTCATCCTGAACAACGGCATTTAAAGGGCTCCAATAAACGATAGTATACCATTGAAATGTGCTAGCTATTTAAGATCAAAATATGCAGAGAGCATAAATAGCATTGATTATATCCTGATTCTATCATTTGCTCATGTACAACAAATGGATCAAAGACGAAACAGCTCCTAACTACTTTTCGCCTCGAATTCATAATGTTGATAGCTTAAATAGTTAATGTTCAATCTGCTATGTGACTAAACATCAGGAGTAAAATTTAAAACAAAAAATCATTTCCTCAACTAATAAAATGAACATCATTCAAAACAAATACGAAAAAATTACAAACTTCAACCCTAATCCCCAAATTTAGCTAAACTACTCCAAACAGAAATGCACTTCAATCTAATCCAATTAAACCCAAACCCATCATTCCAAAACTCCAATCATTTACAACAATACAAAAATCAAGCTCAATCATTCAAAAATCAAGCAACAAAATCAAAATTAAAAAAGGAGAGAGAATTACGGGCAATAAGATTTGGAGAAGATGACAATGGTATGAGAAGAGATAGTTTTCTTGATGAAATCAGCCCGAGAAGACGAAGCAGAAGCCGGCGACGCCGCGAGGACTACAGAAAGCAATAGAACGACGGCGATGCTACGGCGGCGCATGATTTCTCTCTCCATTGTTGGCGGTGGTGTCGAGGTTAAGCTCTTAGTTTCAGATGCTGATGATGTAATTGTTTGTAGTTTGTGATTTTGGAGTATAAATGAAGATGTAATTATTTTTGAAGTATTACTTTGCTTGTAATTATTGGATTTTGTTACATATTTTTGGGGTGGGAAGTTTAGTTGAGGGTATTTTGTTACATGGAAAGGTATGATCTTTAGTACATTGGAGAGGACCATTATTCTCTAGCTATTGCAATAACTGCCAATAAGGCAATAGATGATGTCCCTCGTATATCATGGATATATGATATGAGTCAATTACTGTCAAACCGTTTTGACAGTTTGGGTTCGATTCGGTTTGAAATCAGTTAGGTATAAAATCGGGTCGGTTTAAACTCGTTTTAAGTGTCTCGCGTGTTGGTTTTGGTCCAGTTTAAATAATTATCGGTTCGATTCGGTTTTGGTTTATTCTTGAGCGGTTTTAATTCGGTTCGGGTTGTAAACCGTTCGGGTAGTAAACGGTTCGGTGCAGACGGGTCGCGGTTTGTTAACGGTTCGATGTAAACGGTTTTTTAATCCCGGTTCAAATAATTTCGGGTTGGAAACGGTTTTAGGTTAGAAATAGTTCGGTTCTTTTTCGGTTCGGTTTATAACTACTTTGGTTCTTTTTCGATTCAGTTTATAACTAGTTCGGTTCTTCTACGCTTTAACATTATTCGGATCGGTTCCAATTGGAGTTAACTAAATTACGGTTTGAGTAGGTTTTCGGTTTTAAAAAATCGATTGTTTATCGAGTCGTTTGGATTCGGGCAGTTAAATGGTTTTGGTTGAAATTTGATAGTACTGGCTAACCTTTTGTTGGTTAACAAGTTTTATATTAAATCGAGACTTCATCATTTCTTAAATAGCCATCATATTATATATAAATTCTCATTGATTTTATAAATACATATCATGTTATGTTTCTTGTTAAGCCATACCGATCTTACTAGTTTGTAGCCGATTCGGTTATAAGCGGTCCGGTTCGTAAAACGATTTGGTTAATAAATGGTTCTGTTTATATACAATTCGGTGCAAACAGGTCGCGGGTTGTTGACGGTTCGGTGTAAATGATTTTTATCTCGATTCAAACGATTTCGGGTTGAAAATGGTTTCGGGTTAGAAACAGTTCGGTTCTTTTTCGGTTCGGTTTGATTTCAGTTCGGTTCTTATATGGTGTAACGTTATTCGGATCGATTCGATTTCGTGTTCATTCACATACGGTTCGGGTCGATTTTCGGTTTCAAAAAAATGGTTTTTAATTGGTTCGGTTCTCATTTGGGCAGGTTTGTTTCGTGCAGTTAAACGGTTTTAGTTTGAAATTTGATAGCACTACTTAAAACTCTTAGGGGCCGTTTGGTTCGCGCAGGGGAATCGGAATGGAATAAACAAAGGGAATGAAAGAGAATGGAATGAAAATCCATTCCATGTAGTGTGTTGTTTGTTTTAAAAATATAAAGGAAATCACCCCACCACAACACCACCACCAACACCACCACAGCGATGGCCGGGGGAAAAGCGGTGAGGTGGCTGGGTGGTGGTTGTGCGGTGGGGTAGGTAGAAGGGTGGTGGCTGGTGTAGGCATGGTGGTGTAATGCTGGCTAAGGAAAGGGAATGGAAAAGGCTAGGGGGGTGGGGAATGAATTTAGAGGGATTTGGGGGAATGAAGGGGGTAAAGGGGAATGGAAAAGTGGCCTAACAAACAACAACAAATGGAATGATTCCCGTTGATTCCCATTCCCTTTGTTGAATACCCCCAACCAAACGGCCCCTTAGAGTGAATCAGGGATGAGCAATCTCATTTATCCTCACTTATATAACATAAAAACATTCAATTAATGGATTCATGTTAATGAATTCCCTCTGTCATTTTTATCATGTTCTACTTCCTCAAGAGTAGAATTGAACATCAGTAAACTTGTGGGAAAACTCAAGTAGCCTATCTAGTGTGAGAAAAAGAAGATAAACGCCGATTCTGATTATAAGAGTTGAAAGGTTGAAGCAAAACTAGAGATCTAATTAATCAAATTAAACTAGACATTGAAGCACACTATAAAAGATCTTTTATACACATTTCAAAAAAATTAAGGAGATGATGGGGAAGGTTACAAAAGCTCCAAAAGGATTTTTTCCCCTTTCAAGTATATATATTGTTAGTCACATAATTATGATCTTGCCACTCTTTCAGGGTTTGGCAGCAGAGAAGGGAGTGGCTTGCAGCTTAGGTAAACTTCCTTTTGCATTTAGATGATAACTCTGAATCCCGACTGTTCTAAACTGAGCCCCAACTAACAAAAATTTCGATGTATTTGTCTGTTGCCTGAAAGCATCCACATTTGTGCCTAGGTTTGCAACTTGACAGCTGAATCAACAAAATCAACCGTGCTGTTCTGCTGAGCCCAGAGCTGAGAATATCTACCAGCCTTTGACAGAAGAACCTCATGAGATCCCTGCTCAACAACCGCTCCATTTTCCAGAACCACAATCTAAAGGCAGAAATTTCAACAAGTAGTCAAGCTAGAAGCAACTTAATCATAACATGCAAACTAAATTCCAGTCTTAACACCAACCAGTCAGCAGGTTAATATAACTCTTAAGAAAGTATCGTAATATCACACATACTAACACTTTAACAGGAAGAAAAAGAGTACATTCCTTTCAATCAGTGTTTCAGTAGAATCAGTTGATCATTGTCCATTTCAAGCATTATTGCATATTTCAAGAAGACATGCAGTGCACTACATACAAGACGCTAGTATAATTGTGAGTTACTAGATTTTAATATTGCGAAAATTAAAGCTGAACTTCAAGACAATTTGACAACATCTATGACTTTGTTACATGGGGTCAAGGTTTCCGTCCTCAAATGTAAAACTAAGCTTGGTAAGCTTCTGGCAGCCACACTACCCTTACTTTTCACATTGGAAAAGAAGCAAGAAGAGATATTAGCAACAAAAACTAAAAAATTGGAAACAACCATTACTAAGCTTGTGGCAGCCACACTACCCTTACTTTTCACATTGGAAAAGAAGCATGAAGAGATATTAGCAACAAAAACTAAAAAATTGGAAACAACCATTCCAGTGGTTGAGATTTCCTTTAAGAAGTTCATAAACATTTTAAAAAATCGGATGTAAAATAAAATATTGTACATCCGCTACAAAGTTACCTTAAAACGATCAAAAGTTACCATGTAACAAATGAAAGCGACCCAATATATATAAGTTACCCCGATATAAATAAAAGTTATTAATGTTTTATTAATAAAAGTTACCCTAAATTCAACAAAAGTTACCTCGATATAATGGATACAAAAATTTTTGTTAGAATTTGTAACTAACATTAATTTCAAGTTTCTTTGGATATACATTCCAAAAGTTCAATTAGACTATTTAACTTTAAATAGAAGGTTCATTGGTAACTTTATAGTAATGATTTATCAACAGACTTCACAGACGATAATTAATAAAATCGTTATTCATCAAGTAAAGGCTCGTTTATATGCGGCATACAAGGTTGTAAACACATCACTTATCAATAGAATTCCATTTGAAATTCATCTGGTAATCTAGCATAGTTGGAACATTATTTGGAATGTTCATTGATGAACCCAAAATAGAACCATGCTTTTTGCTCCCAGGGCCAGGGCCAGGGCCAGGGGAGGTACTCTTCCATAATGACACTAATAAGAGATCAAGATTTATTGACTAGCTACAAAACTTACCTCGTCACATTGCATAGCAGTTGTAAGCCGGTGAGCAATAAAAATGGAGGTGCGATTAGTTGCAAGTGACCTCAAAGCACTTAGAATTTCTGCCTCTGTGGTGCTGTCTAGGGCACTTGTAGCCTCGTCACATAGCCTATATAGATAAATCAATTAATAGTTGACGTAGTCTAAAAGCTATTCACTTAAAGTTTCATAAAGTGAACCTTTATACATGAATCTGGCAATCATACAGATTAAAGACTCTTACACTAATAGCCTTCATACAGTTAATTAACGGGGAGGCGAGAAAATACATAACTGGCTAACTGCGGATTACAAGCAATTCAATTAAATGTACATAAAACAATTTTTCAAAATTTTAAGAACCCAGAACTGTAACAGTAGAAGTTTGCAAGTAGGAACCAGCAAAGTTTGAAACTAATCTTATACATTGCACATTTTATCTTGTATTACTATGTGCAAAGTAAGAAAGAGAACTTACAGAATGGGAGGAGATTTGAGAAATGCACGAGCCAATGCAACGCGCTGCTTTTCACCACCACTCAGCTGCAATAATGAATAAAGAAAGTAAAACATGAACATATGTGATGATGAAATTAGTCACAGAAAGGAACAGTGTATTAGCAATGACATTTTTTTTGGTTAAAATCAACAATGATATCACAATATGTTACAACAATGTGGGAAGCCAACTTTGACCTTTCATGGACCAACCTGAAATCTTCCAACATCATTCTTGAACAAAGACCTAGACACTAAATTAAATTCCTTTTCTTGATCAATACTTATCTAATGACGCATTAATACACAATGAATAAAAATCAAAGGACAGGGTTGGCTACCCCTTCTACCATCCACTCAATCTTCTAAAAGTTGCTGACATGGTCAGAGAATTTTGGGCCTAAACGTTGCTGGAAAAACTTGAGAGTAATAGTTGGAAAAGTTGTCAAGAATAGAAACTTTAGGAATACACCAGGAATATTGTATATAGCTTGATTTCCTAATGGCCAGCTAAGACTTAATTGCAAAAACTAACCACATTAGAAGATAAATTGAAGTAACGATAGGCTAAGTTGCATGGAAATTGAAACGAGGAAGTAGGGATAATGGGATACCTAAAAATTTTCAGATGGTAGGAAGCATAGAAACGGAATTGGAAAAAAAAAGCATATATATATATATTAAAAAAAAAAAAAAAGCATTATAATAAAATAAAATAAAAAAACACAAATTCTTATATGTGCGGGTTACTTTGTTACAAGGTCAGTGTTACAAGGGGTTTACTAGGTCAATGTTATAGGGGTTACTTCGTCAGTATTACAGAGTTACTTTGTACTTTTACAAGCGGCCACACACAAAACATGCTGATATATTGCTCAACCCAAGCCATATTAGGTTATTCATGACATTTCCCAAGGAAAAAAAATAAT